AGCACAGAGCCCTCCTGCCTGGGGTCCAGCCAGGCTGGGGTAGCTCTGCTCCACCCATTCCATGCTGTACCTGTTCCATCATCTGTCTTGTAGTCATTCCCAAACACACTCAGGAATTCCCGACGTCCCACTGCCACCTGCACAGAGGGACAAACCCACAGGAGCTCCATCAGCCTGTGCCCCTCATGGCACCACCAGCCTGGGGGAGTCCCCAAGGGCTGTAACAGGGAGGTACCTGTGCCACATAGGGCATGAGGTTGTTTGGAATCCCCTGAGGATCTTCTCCAATCATTCCCGACTCGTGGGCACCGATGGGGTTGAAGTAGCGCAGGAGAACAGCATTCCAGCCCTGGGGAGACACAGAGGTGCCTACCTGGTCACCCAGCACATTCCAGGGGGAGCAGAGCTCAGGTCTCAGCCCCTGGGGCAGCTCCTCACCTTCTCTGCCTTGCAGAGATCCCGAATCATCTCCTCGATGAAGTACTTGGATTTGCCATAGGGGTTGGTGCAGCCTCCCACCGGGTGGTTCTCATCCAGAGGGAGGTACTTGGGGTCTCCATAGACAGTGGCAGAGCTGCTGAACACGATGTTCCTCACACCATGAGCCTTCATGGTCTGGGGGGCAGAGACCAGTGGCCACTGAGGCAGTGAGTTCTGAGCCCTTCACAGCCTGGGACAGGGTCTGGGGAGCAGGACAGACCCAGCACCACACACTGCTCCTGGCTCCACTCACCTCCAGCAGCCTGATGGTCCCAGTGAGGTTCACTCTGTAATATTCCAGAGGTTTCTGCACAGACTCTCCCACTGCCTTCAGCCCTGCAAAGTGCATCACGGCCGAGAAACGATGCTGCGGAGGGAGAATGGGATCAGGGTCAGTGCTCAGCAACAGGACATGGAATCTCCAGGCAGAGCTGGTCACAACTCCCCCCACCCAGGAGATCCCAGGGGGCTCCATGGCCCACAGGAACATTTGGTGGTCTCCTCAGCAGTGTCCTCCCAGCTCACACATCCCTCCTGGCTCCCATCCCATCACCTCCCAGAGCCCACATGGGACACCCCAGGGCACTGCAGCAACCCTGGGGCACTGCAGCTCTTGCTCTCACCTTACTGAAGAGCTCCTGCAGCGCAGCCTCATCCGTGATGTCCAGCTCCTGGAAGAGGATGGGCTGCTGCACCAGCTGCTGCACGCGCCGGAGACTCTCTGGGAGCTCATCCGCCCCTGGCAGAGGGACAGGAGTGAGGTGCTGGCATTGCTGCAGGTCCTGGCACAGCTTGGCAAGGGCTCTCCATACCTCGGATGGCATTGTGGAAGTTGTCGATGACCACGGGGGTGTATCCAGCCTCCAGCAGCTCCAGCACGCAGTGGCTCCCGATGTAACCAGCTCCACCCGTCACCAGGATCTTCTCTGCCATGGCTCCCTGTGGGAGGAAATCCTTCAGTCCCAGTGAGGCAGCCTGGAATGGGCATGACTTGGACACTGGCACATCAGCACTGCCTCCAGGCACTTCCTGCACCTGCCCAGGTGTGTGTGTTGAATGGGCAGGGCAGGCTGGAGCACACGCTGCCAGCGTGGTCACAGCTCCCAGCAGGGAGGGGAGACCTGGCACTGGCACATCCCAGGGAAAAGTCCTTGTTTTTCCTGCTAAACCCAGCTAAGAGCCTTGGTGTCACCCACATGCCACAGCACAGATCCCTCAGCCTTTACCCCAGAGCACAAGGAGCTCTAATTATTAATCTGGGTGATCTCCAGAGAGTATCAGCTCTGCCCTTTTCCACCCATTCTCTTTTTCCTCCTGCTCTAAAATCCCCTTTTACCATGGTCCCAGCTTCCCTCCAGCCTTCCTTCCCAGTGCTGGCTCCATTCCATGCTCCTTCCCAGGAAGGTGGACTTTGGGTCACTGCAGGACGTTGTGGAAGATGGAAGCTCCATCCCTGGGAAGGAGCAGCAGCTCCCACTGTGTTCCCAAAACATGTGGAAGCAGCACAGGGAAAGTTTTCCCTCTGGTGTAACTTCTCAGAGCTGTGTCTGAGGCTGAAACCCAAACTGAGCCTCCAAACCACCTTGTCCTGGGGCTGCTCTGCCAGGCAGGGAGGGCAGTGCCAGGACAACAGCACCTGAGCCAGGAGGGGAGGGCTGGAAAGGCAAATAAAGCAGGGATTTTAGCCTGGCAGGTGAGCAGGGAATGGGCAAGGCCCTGCTGGCAGTGGTGCAGGTGGCACAGGTGCAGGACAGGATTACCTGCAGTGCTGGGAACATCCCTGGGGCTGGGCTGGGGGCCAGGAGGGACTGCAGGAGCAGGACCTGGAGCTGCTGACTGGGCTGAGGTCTCTGGGGCTGTGGTTGGGCTTGGGGCTTACCTGAGCAGGTGGGACTGGGGGGCTCGAGGGGCTGAATGGACCCCAGGGGCTGGAATAATCCCAAGGGGATGGATTTCCCCTAGAGACTGGATTTATCCCGGGGGTTGGATGGACATCATGGGGTCCAAAGGTACCCCAGGGGCTGAATGGACCCCAAGGGAATGGATTTACCCCAGGGGCTGGATTTACCCTAAAAAGGGCTGGATTAACCCCAGGGGTCTGGGGTATCCCAGGGGTTGGAATATAACCCCAGGAACTGGATGTACCCCAGGGGGTCTAAGGGTACCCCAGGGGCTGAATTTATCCCAGAAACTGGATATTCCCCAAAAGGGCTGGATTTACCCCAGGGGTTGGATTTATCCCAGGGGCTGAATGTTTCCCCAGGGGTTGGATTTATCCCAGGAGCTGCATGTATCCCCAGGGACTGAATCAACCCCAGTATTCCAATCCTACCCCAAG